TCCCAAAAAATTATACGTGTTTTGGAAATGTTGAGTCGAATTAGTCTAGAATCGGTTAATTTTATAGAAGAAAACCTTTCGAACAGCCTTAGTCCGTAAAGTTCCCACCTATCGGGCTGCGATTGGCTCATGTATATAATCATTCCTACAACGTAATTTTCGGTTAGCGTGGAACGTATCTAAGCGTTATAGGGGGGTCTACTGTAGTTGTTCCTGGTGATTGGACCTGGCAAGCAAAATTGGACTCGTATCCAGATGTATTTTACATACAAAAAATTATATTATTTTGTTAATATAAAATTTTATTTTTAACTAAACAGTAATGCAAATATTAAACATCAGTTGATTATGATTAATTCATTGCTTACAAAGTAAGATACCTCTTCCAGAGTTGGCTATGTTTGCCACCAAATAGCATATAATACAGAATATTTTGTAAATACAGAACAAAATCATATGATTTAGTTTTAGATAATTAACTTGTAGAAAAAGATTGAAAATTTTATTTAAATATTATTGTTTGATTATGTCATCTTTAAAATGCATAATACAAATTATCAGTTTAAGAACTATGGTTACATTTTTAATATGTAATATAAATATGTATTTTGGCAGAATTACTTTTTAAGTGATAAATTAGGTTTCTGTGTTCATTGATACCTTGTTTGATCTTAGTTTATTTATTTATCATATATGCAATAGGAAATGTCTGACAATAGATCTTCTCCCCTGCATTAATAATAAATCCCAAAACAAAAACAAAATTTCACAAAAAGTATTTATCTTCAACACAATATAATATTGTCCTATGAAAGTTCAGTAATTATGAAATATAACTCATTTAATTGATACTGCAACATTTACAAAAGTTGATATAATGTTTGTGATCATCCATTAATTAATCATCAATGTTTTTTATGATGATGACTTTCACGGTTATATTTTTCTTAGAAAATTCTCATTTGGATGTTTTCTTACATAATCTTGGTGACCGTGTTTCCTAAGTTTTTTGATTCTTTTGTCTTTAGTATTAAATAATTAGGCTTAAATTAGAATAATAATCATATATCAATTTTGAAAATCGTATCAAATTTTAAAAAAATTTGTTTTATTTTCACAGAATATTACTTCGGTCATTTCTCTACTCTGTCAAGAAACCAAAACGCAAATTATTGTATAAACGCCCCTTAACAATACTTACTACTTTCAATTCGTAGTTTTAATTACATTGAATTAACAGTTAAACACAATTAGAAATTTTCCATATTAAGTCTTCCCTAGTTGTAAATAGTGTGTTTTTTTTAAATAACAATATTTAGTTTATAAATTTTTCTAATTGCATGATTGTAACAATTATATTTAGTTAATTTACTAATTATATTAGGAAGATTATAAATTCTCAGTTGAGAGAGAGATTGTCAGGTAAGTATTTCTTAATATTTTAAGGCTAATATTTCTAATAAATGAGTTAGTATAAACTCATATAGTTTAAACCTAACAATAAAAATCTCAAAGGATTTTGATAATATTTTTTAATATATAACTTGTTTTTTTTTCAATGTAAATAGTACCTTTACAGAAGGCTGCCTTTGAAGTAAACTGTTCATACAGCTATGCACTACTGCTAGTGTCCATGCTATTTGTTAAAATGGTATTGGAATCCATTTTTTAAAATATTTTTAAGGATTCCAGTCACTATTGCTTCTAGACTGTCATTGTTTAAGGACTGGCAGTTAGTGTATAGTCCTTGGCTTTCATTGGTCATTCATTTCTTAATAAGCACTGTAGAACACCAATACACCCATAAATTTTTTGGTGGTTTCTGCTGACATACAATATTAAGAGGAATTGATTGAATATTTCATAATTTGTTTATATTGTTTTTTTCTGTTTTGAATTATAATTAATTCATATTTAAACTTAACCTATGGTAAAAATACTTAGGAACAAGTTACAATACAAGTTTATTAAACTGGCAGCACTGGTTCTGTAGGTGTCGGATTACTGGATATTTTGTATTTTCACAAAATTTGATAAAGTATATGCAATTTGAACATTACATATATTGCTATAAATTTTGTACTAGTGCACACTGTTATATGCTTGTTTTGTTTTAGCATGCTCTTTAATCAATTTGAAGAGTTAGTGTGTTAAGATTGATTGAGAAACTTGCAAAACATTAATAAACACATAATTGCATAAATTCAGCATTTGCAATGATGCATATGCATATAATTATTTTCCAAATATACTGTTTTTTATTGCACCGTATGTCCAAACAAATTATGATGCACTGAATACTGGATTCATGCTGGATTATCAGCTACTTTTCACAGAATGTCAGATTAATGAACTTTCATTGTGTAAAACAGGATCAAGTACTTTTGAGTATTATTGTCAGGAATCATATGCATCACAGAGTAGTAATATACTTCCATAAACAATGTTAAACCAGGAACAAAGTATCATGACATTTTGTAAATTGCATTATATTCATTCACAGTTTTTTGAAGTCATATGTCTTATTCTATTCAGAATGGTGTAGCTTCATTTGCAGTTTTAATACAAATAAAATTTTTTTTTTATTTGTTCAAACTTTATATTAACTGTTGAAACACAATGGTGACAAAAGCTGGTGTAGTTTGACTGGGGTTCACATGCGCTTTTGAGCTGCACATTATTTTCTTGAACATTAGTTTCATGGTTTACCACTGAAGTCCTGATAGTAAATTATTGAGTCAATTCTTTGTATCTTTATAGACTTTTATACCTTTTTTAGCTTATTTAAATATGTTATTTTTATTAAACGAGCCTCTTAGTGGCTTATACCACATTGCTTCTTTCCTGGATGCTACAATATTATAGAATATCTTATACAGGAGTTAGATATTTGAGTGTCTAATTGGCAACAAATATAGATAATTTAAAATAACTATATGAAGTTTTTGTTTATTAAAATAATGCATTCAATTTATGATTACTCTTATAATGAAAAGTCCTGTAATTTATTATTATTTTGTACAAAAGTTATTTACATATATCTAGTGACATTTTAAACCATACTGATTATAATTTCTCTTAGAATTTTATAAATGCTATGATAGATTAATTTATTTAAGAATTGTATAAATTGATTTTAGCAAAGTGAATGGGGAAAAAATTTTTGTTGTATACTGGAACCTCGCTTAACGAGTATTTTGCATAATGAGCAAAGTAAATCGCAAAAAAATTACTCACTTAACAAGCGATGTTTCGTATAATGCGTGACTAGGAGAGGGGAAGTCCCGGATTGTGCGCATGCTATTTACATCAGTCTGTGTTTAGCACTCATCTGCTAGTGTCTTAAGTGTCCCTGGTTATCACACATTTTTCCAAACTTGTTTACAGACATATTACATATAAACATCAACAACCATAGTACATTATATAATACAGTAAACATGCCAAACTATATGCCAAATTCTTGGGCTATGTAAAGGCTATAATTAAATATTAGAAATTACTATATTTCGATTTTTTTTTCTGCAAATCGAATTCCCATTCCAGGTTGGTTCATTCTGCCCTATAAGAGAAAATAACAACGATTCGTGCTCCTTAACAGTGTATATTGTATAATTTTCTTTGAATAAATGTTATACATAAAATATTTGAGTATTTTTTTTGGCATAGAGTGCATTATCATATTTTACATTAATTTATATGGGAAAAATTGTTTCAATTAACAAGTGTTTCACTTTAGGATAACATTCTGGAATGAATTATGCTCATTAAGGAGATTCCACTATATTTAAAATTGTTAAAACAAGAAATTAATCATTACTATTATAAACTAATTATATATGTCAAATTGCATCAAAAATTGGGTACTATAAAATATAATTTTTGTAACATTATTTTTATATTAAAACATCATTATTTATAATCATCTGATTTTACTTTCTCAAAACTTATAAGTAAAATAACTTACCAAAATTTGAAATTTCAGCTATTCCAGTCTTCAAATATCAAGCAGAACGAGTTCACAACCTCCTTCCACGCTCAATAGTCCACAACAAAGAGGACGAGCAACGAGTACATTCAGCACGACTTTGGGGCTTGCAAGGCTTTTAAACGAACGAGGTATTCATGCTATAGTGCCCACGGCTGTAATGAGTAATCAAAAGGTAAGTTTCTTTAATACTCAAGATGACGATAGAAATATCTTAACTAAAAATATGTAAATTATATAGATTGACTCCACTCCTCCAACACCGGCACCTTCTCCCGAAGGTTCTCCTCCTCCAACTCCTCCGCCTTTTAGTGGAATACAAGTGCCAGATTTAATTAATGTTGGGTCTCTAGCAAGAGGTGTACATTTGTTAAGAAGAACTCGTTCAAAAAAATCCAAGTCTGTTACTTCCAAAAATAATTCTCATGCGTCTTCCCATAAAAAAGAATCCGAACCTGCTAAAATCGGACTTTTGGATAAACTGAGTCGTATTGGATTAGAAAACATCATGTCCACCACGGCATCCGAAATCCCACCATCGATTGCAGAATGTAAAGAATCTCGGTTTCCTCGCATAACTGTAAAATTGAAAACTTTTGACGAAAGTTCTCCTCTTACTCTGACACCTAAAACCGATGTCGGCGTTAAGACAAGGATCGATTTATCGTGCTTCACGCAGTCTTCTATGAGTAACAAATCAATGGTGGGAACAAGTTACTCTACCGTTCAGTCATGGAGTTGTGTTCCTTCAGTCAAATCTACAAAAGTTAATACATTCGAATCGTCTAATTTGCCAAAACCAGCACAATTGTTAAACATTCAAGATAAAAATTCTAATATCGGAACTATTGGTGCATTACGTACTCTTCGTAAAGGAGGTTATATTTAGAAGCAGCCACAGGTATATTAAATTTTCATAATAATAACAACATTAATCCATTTTTTTATATTAAAAAAAGTGAAAATTGCATAGAATATCTTATTCCATAAAAAAAAAAAGCTTTATTATTAATGTTTAAGAAAAATTCCACAGTTTTAAATATTAGCTATTGCATTTGTTTAGAGACCAATTGATAATTTTTACATAAATGTCAGCATTCCATTTGAATCAGAGTTAACAACTTAGAATTACATATCCATCTAATTAGAATTATAAGAAGTCTGCTTAATTATCGTTAGCCGTTATTTACTAAAGACGTAATAATAATAATTCAGGCATTTATTATATTTTGTCGGTGCAAAAAGTTGCTTTTAATATTTATACGTTTTCATGACTTAAGTACGAAGCACAAAAGTTTGATATAATTTTTTTTACAAAATTACAGTAAGAAATATATTAACTTTCTATTATTGTTTAGTATTTATTTATTCAAGAAATCTGTGATCTAAATTTTGTCATAGTGCAATATTAGAAGGAAAATTAAGTTTATTATTTATGGAGAAATTAGTATTGTATTACGACTCTTCTGGATTTCAGAATGATGATTGCCATATATTTAATATTATTGTGTGCGTGTGTGAGAGTAGACAAAAATGCTATGCATTTTGTCATTTTTATTAGGAATGAAAAAAAAGATTCATTCCATTCTGTTGTAAAATAAAGGCTCCAGAACTTAGGGAAAGCATTTGTAAAAAAAATTTAAAAAACAAAAAAATTATTGTACAGTAAAATATGTAGAATGAGAGATTATCAGTAATTATACGGATAATTCCATAAATGGAGTAGCCAAACAGTGGAATTTAAACATTGCAGAGAGAGGTTTGTGCCTCAAGACAAAACTTGTTGTTTTGAATCTTTGTAGGCTTTTTATTATTATTTTTATTTTTTTGTAGTTTTTCTCTTGAGCTTAGAAATAAGTTTTTAGTAGAAATCTGCACATTGTTTTGTTGTAAAATATTGCTTGTATAGCTGGTTGTATTCCAGATGTAGATTATTAAATGTAATAAAGTTTTTGTATACATTTTGCTCGCTTATTTAAACTTTGCAATCTGTATATGATAAAATTTTGATAAAAATAAAATTATAAAGAGTTTTGGAAGATAGACAAATTTTTGTTTACCTAATGTTAAAAATAAAGTACTTCCGATTAAATTATTGTACAGGTATACAATATCATACAAAATTAACTGCAGTCTACAGTAGCATGAATGAATTCGGTTGGGGGACAAGTCAGAATATCTATAAAAAACACAAAATGAAATAATTGTAACAAATTTTAAAATATTTTATGAAGATTATAAATGAATAATTTAACTTCAATATCAACTACGAACAATTATTTATTGTGACATAGTCACAATGTTCCAATTTTAGTAGTCTTGCACCTGTACATCGTACTTTTCCTGTTAACAATGGAGTCGTGCTGGTCATCTGACTCCGTTCTCTAGATCAACGGTGGGCGGCCCGCGGGCCAGCTACGGCCCGTGAAAACTTTCTATCCGGCCCGCGAGATGTTTAGAAGAAATTATAAATAAATATTTTTCGATATAATTCGTCTAGTTTAAATTGAATATTATTTTCTGAAGTGTTGCGGCAGCAATGACAGGAAAAAATAAGGGAGTCATTTCCTTATTCAAACAAAAAATGGAAGAACAGAATTTTTCTAAATTATTTATATCTCATGGCATCATCCATCAAGAAAAGCTATGCAATTAGAAAATGTAATGTCTGTCGTATCCAACTACATAGGGCTGTTTTTATTGTGTTTAAATTCACTTAGATTTTACAAATAGGTGAGCCGTTCACAGTTCGGCACACGCATATGTAAAATCTAAGTGACTCATACAACAAGGAATTCATATAAAACGGAATAATCAACAGTGTTATAGGGGGGTCGACTGTAGTAATTAATTTCTTTTTATTTATTTATTTATTTGGACCGTTTATTTTGAAAGTGATGTAAGTCCATTTTTTCTTCTTTCGAGATATTTAAACATTTGCATTTTAGTTGATTCAAAAATATAAACAAAGTGTACTAAGTTTGACAATGTTTCTATGACTTTAGAAATATGTAAGTTGATTGCATAAAGACTTCTATGTGAATTTATCCAAACTAATATATTCTTTCTGGGCCATAAATGGACTTACACCACTTTCATAATTACTAAACTGTAAAATTCATTAAATTTCTATTATGTAAAACTCAATGTCACTTGAAACACATTGCGTTTTATTCTGATTTTGTTCATATATAATAACAAGAAATAAAATAGTATTGTTTATTCTGAACATTAAAAATATTTACTTATTGTTAAACTATTTTATGATAAATTTATCATTATTATGAGCTTACCATTAGACACTGCTTTTCATTTAGATTCATTACATGGATTTTTTTCTAGTCCATCAAATTGTACATTTGTTGGTAATATTTACAGTTTTACTCTTCTGTTGTAAGGGGCTGTCTTTAAATGATGTCCACACTGAAAGGGAGGGAGGGGTTAAGACAAGTTGGACAAGGAGGGTTGAGTATTAGTGGACATCCATTTATTTCATTAAATTTTATACAATATGCATTTTATTATATTTATTTCAAAGTTTCTTGTATGTTTCATTTCTACTTATGGTATCTATCATTCATAAAGTGATGAAGGTTTTAACAGGGATAGAGTTATGTTGGACATCCATAGAGGGAAAGGGGTTACAAAAACTTGGACAAACTGGGACAAGAGGGAAAAGTAAACATTTCAAGAAAAATGCACATGTAATTTATGGATAGCCCAAGTGCTTAGACTGTAGAAAATGGACTTATACCACTTTCAAAATCAATGGTTATGCAATGTCATTTATCGATAAATTTTCAATTGATCAAAGCTTATGGTTATTTTAAAATGTTAAGTGTGAATTGTTTATAAATAAAAAGTTCACACTAAATTGTATGTATATTATGTGTTTTCTCAATTTTTTCCAAAAATGGACTTACACCACTTTCAAAATAAACGGTCCATTTATTTCATATTTGCAAACTGAAAATTTACAGGTCACAAGGTGTCAATTAACTACTATGGCCCGTGGAAAAAACGTAAAATTTATTCTGGCCCATGTTATAAAAAAGGTTGCCCACCCTTGCTCTAGATTAAGGAAGAAAAGACAGACAGACGGACCAGTGGGATCTGTCTACAAATTTTTGAAAATTGCAGCCCAATAAAGCCATATTAAAAAGATTAAGTAGTGTAACAAACAATGTTTTTCCAAAATTTCGAGGACATGCATGAAGGGATGGATGATAGGCAGGGCAGTCAAACAAAAGAGTTGCTAAACTCGTTTTCTTGAAGCACTGCGCACAGCTGTCTCACTGGTTCGAGGTTAAATCTGCAGCGCTCCTTTGTTGCTCTTCTCGCTGCAACAAGATGGCTGCCCTCCACGATGGAAATGTGCGTTCAACAGATGCACAGAGATCCACCATTTTGAAATTGCAGCGTTGAATTTAACAAGCCGAAAGTGAATGAATAAGTGGACTCAATACTTGGAATAGTCTTTCGGCCGTATGGGTTGAAAAAGTTAGCATTTGGTTTTAGACTTCTCTTCCTTCTGTAAAGTATAATTCAATTTTTTTTTTTAGATTAATAAAACATTATAAAAGCAAATAAGAAAATTTTCTATGAAATTTTACAAGTAGCCTGACGTCAGTCGCATCGCGTCATTGATGACGACAATCAAACAACGAGGTTTTTCGGCAATTGTTAACCAATCAACAATACAAATGTAATTGTTCAGTGTTCGAATTGAGACTCCGTTTTCATATTTCTGGCAATTTCCATGAAAAATGGCTGAAATTTCGTCTAGATTTTGAAAAAATAATAAAAGAAGGCAGAGAAATAAATCGTACGTAGGAAATTGGTCGAACTCATAATGGGCTCGCTAAGAAGACACTTAGTGACCACAAGGTGAAAGGATGAAAATATTAACTAACAAGAAATTGCAATCGAAGGGAGGCATTTTAAATAAATTCGCATAACAGGCAAGTCATTTAATTTAAATTAACGGTAAATGTTCACCTAGGTACACCGTCATGGCGGCACTTCCGGATTCTCGACACGCGTCTTGAATTTCATTGTAGGTGTCACTGTCAATAATTCTAACATAATTTGGTTTCGGGTTATTACTTTTTATTAATTTATTGCCATAAAGTTCGGTCTACAACCTGTAGATGCAGATTGCACGAAATGCGATGGTTTTCACAAAATAATTTATAGAATGGATCGAGAATCCATTTCATTTCGATGTCATAAGTGTAAGGCAAGCAAATCAATTCGCCGTTTGAAGGAACTTTTGAAGGTAAAATCGGTAAAATTTCGCGGAGAACTCTCTTCTCATTTGTATGGCATCTAATTTGCATAGAGTTTGTTGAGCGTGACATGTTTGGCTGTGGGTGTGAGTTATCGTATTGCCGTCGACTGGGCAAACTTCGTAAGAATGCCATGATGATTTCTTTGTATAATTTATCCCAAATGAAAATTGGAGGACCCGGAAAAATTGTTAGATGAAACAGTTGAGTAAAAGGAAGGATAATAAAAGGAACCAGTGTTTGTATGTCAGGTCAGAAGCTAGTTTTAACTGGGTTATTAGTAAATTTGTGAATTCGGGAACCATTGTGTGCATAGATGAATGGAAAGATATAATCATATCGACAAATTAGAAGGAGTAGATATTAAACATGCAGAAAATTTCGTTGATTCGGTTACGAGCGTCGATACGCAAAAAATTGAAAGATTGTGGCGTTGTTTGAAGAACAGAAAGAACTTGCCAATGCATTATACTGAAGATATGTCAGATTCGTATTTATGTGTCTTTATATACAAGAAGTTTCTGAGTTGGGAAAAGCTAAAACCAGGAGAACGTTTCGAGTTGTTTCTTCAACATTAAGTTAAGAGTAAGGTTTATCCAGGAACAGGTCGCGCACCAATATGGAAAAAGTCCGAAATTGTTCCTTCTGTCCCGAAAGCCATACTCAAGAATAACGAAAATCCAAAGAGAAAGAAAGAAGAAACGAAGAAAAGCGAGGGAAAAGAATCAAGAATATACAAGAAGTGGATACCACACAGAATCACGTTCAAGTTCGAAGAAAGGGAAAAGAAATAAATGAAAATTTATCAATCGTGAGTACAATTAATTCTTTTTCTATACAGTATGGTTTTGTTAGTATTTATGCTGTTAGCCTTACTGTTTGCGGACATAGCATTCGCAAACAAGATGGCGGCGTACCTAGGTGAACATTTACCAAATTAACACTTTGGTTTTCAACTCTCTTTGTCATGTGGACTCTGAAGGCCTTTTTTTAGTAAGTTTTTTATGGCCGGGCCCACCAGTGGCCAAGTTGTCTTCATTCCCTGAACACTGGGAGTTCGGTCGTGGGTTCACGCCTCGCTCAAACGGGCTGGCCACGTGGAGTTTTCCAAGTTTTCTACACGTCTGTAACGCCTAAATAGTGACCAGTTTCCCTTAAAAAGACCTCCCGGAAGACATCCCCTAGGCAGATCGCCCAAGTGTTGCGTTGCCATAACTAAACAAAAAAACTTTTATGGGCCACAACGAAGCTGGGTCATGAGGGACAAGACCCGGAAAACCCGAATGAACCAGGAGTGGGATGAATATAACATTGAGGATTTGGGATCGAAAAATTCCTCTCAAGTCCTCCAGAGTGGTAGGTTTTCACCTTAAACTATTTATAAGGAAAGATGGGCCACAGAGAGATAGCCCTCAGTGAATCACAGTGGATCTCACAAACTCAGCTCAATCTTTAGTTAACATTTTTTAAATACAAAATGTTCCTTAAATATAGATAAAATTTAATTTTATATTAAAACACAGGGTCCAAGAGTCGTACTGCGACTCAGGCAAGGGCAAAAAATTACATGACTCACTGAGGATTAAGATTACATAAATATTTATATTTACCTTTGGTATTGTCTTTTCGTGATCCCTTCCTAGATGGTTCTTCATTTCTTGTGAGACATCGCGTTGATCGTTTTTGAGGTACAGACTTACTAATGTACTTAGGACAATTAGGGAAGTTTGATGGATATGAATCCGACGTTAATGCCCAGCGATCTCGTGGAATTTCTACTTTCTCTCCATTTATAACATGGGAGAAGGTTTTTAAAATAAATCCACTCGCAAAATGTACGTCACAAACGTAACATTTATTTCTTAGCATCTTGTCTCGTGGAATGCATCGCATCTACTCCTCAATCTTATCGCTAGGAACATAGAATAAATGTCTCTTCTCGTTCGATGACATATCCTGTCTTGCATCCTGGCACAAAGCACGTTGGCATTTTTATGTAGCTAAAAAAACAATTATTATAAGTCAAAATCACTGACTTCAGTATATACCTAGCAAGAACAACGCTCTCCTGCTAACAGTGGCGCCAACTAGTGGCAAATATTGTCTCTAGCTAAGTTTGAACTATTAGTCTATCTACAGAACTATTAGTTAATCTACAGACTCTGACCATGGGACGCTTTGTCTGTCATAAAGTATTGATGCAATACTTTATTCTATAATCTACTCGTAAAAAACCCTCCAAAAATTATATATTTAAAGACAAATTAATTGATATAATTATGTGTCTTCAAGTTTTATCCCCTAGAAAATTTCCTGCGGATGCCCATGTGTACGACCATCAACAGGAATTATTTGTAGATAGTGTCTAACTTAAAAAAATATAATTCACTATGGTGTAGTAAAGACAAACCAGTGTAAAACTATTATCTGCACGTGTTCATTGCGGGCATGGACGAGCCAATTCTAATTTTAGTGCCATGCACGTATTGTGTCCACACTGAGTTGAAAATAGATGTTCCATTCAAGCTTAATAAGTGACTCAATTCATATGGTTAGGCCGGATGGCCGAGCGATCAAGGTGGCAGCCTACTGCTCTGGTTGGAATCCGAACGGGTCGAAAAATCCCCAGGAATTTTTCGGGGGTGGTCCGTTCGGATATGTCGGGCCCCGTCCCTCACCACCCGGCAGGCCCCGTTGTGGGCCTGGCCGAACCCATAATGGACTTGCAAAAAGAGGCCCTTTTAGTGCCCACAGGGCGGAAAGAGTTTTAAAAAAAATCATACGGTTAAACTAATATATTATTGTAAACATTCAAATATATATTAATTAATTTCGATTCGTTTCGAAAATATTTACAAACTCAGATATTTAATTAAATTATAGATTTTTCTTTCTCGCGACCTTCGCGGAATATAGCACTTATTGAACTATACAAAATTATATAATTGGTTTTATTATAAATTCAAATTTAAAAAATTATTTTAATGAAAATTTGCGTGTGCATTGAAAGCATAAAAGCAGAAATCAGTTTGAGAAATACAACGTTACGGTCATTTTTCAGAAATAAGATCTTTAAACACAGTGACACTAAGATTATAGGAATACAGTATTTCCGTTTGTAAAAATGAGAGTTTCCTCTGTAAGTAACGTTTATCCTATTTTCAAATCCACTCACAAGGATGGATATCGGGGTACTTGGAATTTATTGCTCATCTCCATGATGTTTTCTGGTTTAAATTACAAAGCAAGACGAATTACGTTATTGGATATAATTGTGATTATTATCGGTATCTTATATACCATTTATGTAAATTTAAAACATATTTTTCTTCTGAAAGAAAACAATATAACTTTATTATTTTTGACATTAGCCTTTTATGAATTTTTTCTAATAGCCAATCTTTCATCCATAATTCATTTTCATGCTAAAAAAAACGAAATTCGCGAACTGATCAAGAAGATTCACGGACTCAAAGATTTTCCGTTAGAATGTGAATTTAATCAAAAATATTTAAATATTAAAGTTGTTATTATTTGGATATGCTTCTTTGTTTACTGCATTATATCAACAATGACATCTTCAAGTGAAATTAATTATAAAACATTGGGATTTCAAGTTAATCGAACTGTAGAAATCATCATATTGATTTTTAATGGCGCACTTAATTATGAGTTTTATGTAATGCCTACTCTTTGGTTATTTCTATTTTTTACAGTAATTTGTGAAGAATTAGAAAATGCTTTAATCTCTTTGCTGAGTTTCCTAACAAAGGGCCGTGTTTCCTCCTCACGGTTACATTCGACATTGAAAGTATACACGTATGTTTTAGGAATTATTAATATTTTATCGAATATTTATTCCTCGATGTTATTTCTTTGGACAATTTGCGTCGGAAGTCGTCTCATATTCAGTTTTCACTTAATGTTAACAATTTCGCAATCTATGAAAGTAGATAAGTTAAACGACTTCATTCTGGCATCTGTTGTTCCCTTTTTATACTTTATGAACTTATGTGTATCGGTACATCGAGTGAAAAAAATTGCAAATGAAATAATAAAAGCTCTTTACACGGTTTCTTCATCCAACGATAATCACTCGATACAGAGTTCTACTTTTCTTTCATCTCTTCGTACAAAATGTGTACAAGATTTGCCTCAATTTACGGCTTGTGAAATGTTTACTGTGGATAAAAAACTGATATTGACAATTTGTAGTGTTTTTGTAACGTACACAATTATACTGAATCAAATGGAATAAAGCAGAAGCGAAAGCTGTATGATTGTAAATTGATTAGTGGTGAAATTTGCTGTACGGACTGCTGTATGATGGCTGATGGTAAAATCGCTTGTGAGTAAAATTCCATATTAGAAAAATATGTATAATAATTTAAGAAATTTAAATGATAAAAAATACTGTATATTTGATAAAAAAATTGCTTAGTAATTATTTTTCGAAAAAGTTGTAATAAATAGCGCTCATTATTTATTATTGTGTGAAAAAATGATTGTAATCTTGCATTGTAATTGGTCTAATTCAATTATGTAATGTATTCATTTGCTACTTTGAATGATCAATTTTGTATCCTCAGATCAATTTCTTAATGAATTTTCTTTCTTCCTTCACCAATGCTGGACGAATCTGTCGCAGTCTATCAATGTAATATTACTGTATTGTTACCGTAAGGAATGATACGACAATAAGACACGACGTTAATCACTGACGATTCACGATTAAATGTGGCACCAATAGACAAAAATCAAAACAAATAGATATAACTTTAGATATTACAATAGAATAGATAGATTATATTCTTAACTGGTTACATGTAACGGTATATTAAATAGATATAGAAAGCTCATAGCAACATTTATTGCTTACAATTAATACAAATTGTCTCTTATTCTTCGGCTCAATAAAGATCATGTTAACACTTACAGTCTGGGTTGAAGCATTATTCTTTATTCTACGCACCATCTGACCGATTTCATTGCATTCTTGGTCCTCTTGAACAGGACGGAAATTAGGCAAATTTTCGTAGCCCAAATTGTTGTTTGTGATGCCGACATCAATCTAAATTTAGCCCATATTGTTGATGTTCTACGTCACAAACAACAACATTTTGAATGTTCTTAAAAATTTTGCTTGCAGCTATTTCAAAATAACATAAAACATATTTTAATATAATTTTGTGAATTATTTTAAAAATTTCTATGTTCGCTGTAACACAAACACGAATACTTAAAGAATTATGTTTAATTTCCCATTTCCACAATAAGAGAGACATTTTATTAAACCAACCACACTCCCGGAATATATTATTTTATTTACAGAATAATATTTAGACAAACTGATAATTTCTTTTAGCATTTTCATTCGTCGATCACAGATGGCACCACCAGTCATATACTTTTAAGTGAAAATAAACTCTGAATAGAAAAATGAGAAGAGTGACGCATAGTTAATTATTCTATTTTAATAAAAATAAATAAAATGAATACCAAGTAAACTATAAAAGTTTATTTTTATTTTCTCATTTTTCNAGTAAAATAACTTACCAAAATTTGAAATTTCAGCTATTCCAGTCTTCAAATATCAAGCAGAACGAGTTCACAACCTCCTTCCACGCTCAATAGTCCACAACAAAGAGGACGAGCAACGAGTACATTCAGCACGACTTTGGGGCTTGCAAGGCTTTTAAACGAACGAGGTATTCATGCTATAGTGCCCACGGCTGTAATGAGTAATCAAAAGGTAAGTTTCTTTAATACTCAAGATGACGATAGAAATATCTTAACTAAAAATATGTAAATTATATAGATTGACTCCACTCCTCCAACACCGGCACCTTCTCCCGAAGGTTCTCCTCCTCCAACTCCTCCGCCTTTTAGTGGAATACAAGTGCCAGATTTAATTAATGTTGGGTCTCTAGCAAGAGGTGTACATTTGTTAAGAAGAACTCGTTCAAAAAAATCCAAGTCTGTTACTTCCAAAAATAATTCTCATGCGTCTTCCCATAAAAAAGAATCCGAACCTGCTAAAATCGGACTTTTGGATAAACTGAGTCGTATTGGATTAGAAAACATCATGTCCACCACGGCATCCGAAATCCCACCATCGATTGCAGAATGTAAAGAATCTCGGTTTCCTCGCATAACTGTAAAATTGAAAACTTTTGACGAAAGTTCTCCTCTTACTCTGACACCTAAAACCGATGTCGGCGTTAAGACAAGGATCGATTTATCGTGCTTCACGCAGTCTTCTATGAGTAACAAATCAATGGTGGGAACAAGTTACTCTACCGTTCAGTCATGGAGTTGTGTTCCTTCAGTCAAATCTACAAAAGTTAATACATTCGAATCGTCTAATTTGCCAAAACCAGCACAATTGTTAAACATTCAAGATAAAAATTCTAATATCGGAACTATTGGTGCATTACGTACTCTTCGTAAAGGAGGTTATATTTAGAAGCAGCCACAGGTATATTAAATTTTCATAATAATAACAACATTAATCCATTTTTTTATATTAAAAAAAGTGAAAATTGCATAGAATATCTTATTCCATAAAAAAAAAAAGCTTTATTATTAATGTTTAAGAAAAATTCCACAGTTTTAAATATTAGCTATTGCATTTGTTTAGAGACCAATTGATAATTTTTACATAAATGTCAGCATTCCATTTGAATCAGAGTTAACAACTTAGAATTACATATCCATCTAATTAGAATTATAAGAAGTCTGCTTAATTATCGTTAGCCGTTATTTACTAAAGACGTAATAATAATAATTCAGGCATTTATTATATTTTGTCGGTGCAAAAAGTTGCTTTTAATATTTATACGTTTTCATGACTTAAGTACGAAGCACAAAAGTTTGATATAATTTTTTTTACAAAATTACAGTAAGAAATATATTAACTTTCTATTATTGTTTAGTATTTATTTATTCAAGAAATCTGTGATCTAAATTTTGTCATAGTGCAATATTAGAAGGAAAATTAAGTTTATTATTTATGGAGAAATTAGTATTGTATTACGACTCTTCTGGATTTCAGAATGATGATTGCCATATATTTAATATTATTGTGTGCGTGTGTGAGAGTAGACAAAAATGCTATGCATTTTGTCATTTTTATTAGGAATGAAAAAAAAGATTCATTCCATTCTGTTGTAAAATAAAGGCTCCAGAACTTAGGGAAAGCATTTGTAAAAAAAATTTAAAAAACAAAAAAATTATTGTACAGTAAAATATGTAGAATGAGAGATTATCAGTAATTATACGGATAATTCCATAAATGGAGTAGCCAAACAGTGGAATTTAAACATTGCAGAGAGAGGTTTGTGCCTCAAGACAAAACTTGTTGTTTTGAATCTTTGTAGGCTTTTTATTATTATTTTTATTTTTTTGTAGTTTTTCTCTTGAGCTTAGAAATAAGTTTTTAGTAGAAATCTGCACATTGTTTTGTTGTAAAATATTGCTTGTATAGCTGGTTGTATTCCAGATGTAGATTATTAAATGTAATAAAGTTTTTGTATACATTTTGCTCGCTTATTTAAACTTTGCAATCTGTATATGATAAAATTTTGATAAAAATAAAATTATAAAGAGTTTTGGAAGATAGACAAATTTTTGTTTACCTAATGTTAAAAATAAAGTACTTCCGATTAAATTATTGTACAGGTATACAATATCATACAAAATTAACTGCAGTCTACAGTAGCATGAATGAATTCGGTTGGGGGACAAGTCAGAATATCTATAAAAAACACAAAATGAAATAATTGTAACAAATTTTAAAATATTTTATGAAGATTATAAATGAATAATTTAACTTCAATATCAACTACGAACAATTATTTATTGTGACATAGTCACAATGTTCCAATTTTAGTAGTCTTGCACCTGTACATCGTACTTTTCCTGTTAACAATGGAGTCGTGCTGGTCATCTGACTCCGTTCTCTAGATCAACGGTGGGCGGCCCGCGGGCCAGCTACGGCCCGTGAAAACTTTCTATCCGGCCCGCGAGATGTTTAGAAGAAATTATAAATAAATATTTTTCGATATAATTCGTCTAGTTTAAATTGAATATTATTTTCTGAAGTGTTGCGGCAGCAATGACAGGAAAAAATAAGGGAGTCATTTCCTTATTCAAACAAAAAATGGAAGAACAGAATTTTTCTAAATTATTTATATCTCATGGCATCATCCATCAAGAAAAGCTATGCAATTAGAAAATGTAATGTCTGTCGTATCCAACTACATAGGGCTGTTTTTATTGTGTTTAAATTCACTTAGATTTTACAAATAGGTGAGCCGTTCACAGTTCGGCACACGCATATGTAAAATCTAAGTGACTCATACAACAAGGAATTCATATAAAACGGAATAATCAACAGTGTTATAGGGGGGTCGACTGTAGTAATTAATTTCTTTTTATTTATTTATTT